TGCAAACCTCATAGTTGGTTCATGTCTGTTTTTATATCCCACAGTTCCAGTTGGATTTGGGGAATATAGTTCCTGTTTTTGAGAACATAGAAGTCAGCAGAGGTCATGGTTTTAAGGCACATTTGTCATTTAAACTGGACAGGAAACCTGAAGGTTAACAGTTCCAAAACCTGGCATTGCAGAATTTTTGGGTCTAGATTAACGACTCAGGTGACACAAGAAGCACCGCATTAAGAAACGTAACCTTGGAAACCCAAATTTTTCATCATTCCAATTATAGCACATTTTTCTAATTACAGCCTGTCTTTCTCAGAAGTTCCCTGTTTCCAGCCTTGCTCTTCTGCTGGGCTCCACTCTCTGCTACTTTCTCACGGTCCATGTTCTCCTTTCAGTCACAGCAGTGGCAGTGAAGGAGAATCCCATTGTTCCTGGACTGCCAGTGCCTCCCAAGGGAACTGTGACATCCCAAATGCCTTCTCCTCCTCCTGCAGCTCCTGTAATTCCATCCTGCCTGACTCCTTTTATGCCATTTGGCCAATGCCTGTCTGATAAGTGGAGCTGGATACCTGTGAATCCTGATGAACCCCCATCCCCTGAGATTCCACTACACCATCAAGTTAAATTTCTGATACAGATGTAGATGTGCAATAAAGAGATGTATAATTTCCTGGTTGCCACCAAGATCTAAAGCAAAATTCCTGAAGGTCTTAAAATATTTCATTCTGGATGAAAAATAACAATAAAAAAAATATAAAGCCTAAATGTGTGTTAAGGGAGCACTAAAAAGCTGGAGAAGGAGAATAACAGGAGTGTGGAAGATGAAAGTTTCTGGGGAAAATAGAAGCACAAAAAACTGAAACAGCAGGAGGGGTAAACCTAAAGGAAAAAACCCAAACCAGACAATTATGCAGACTCCACAACAGTGAACATTTCTTTAAATCAGTTTTAACTGTGATATATTATCTCGCTTAAAATCATCCAACTGAAAATATGGAAAAAGAAGACTGTAAAGTGTACATGTTACAAAAATATTTTTATAACTCAGGGCTAGACTGTATTACAGATAACTTCATCTGTTTGCTCTTCATCTGTTTGCTCTTTACCATGTTTTTGAAAGATTATGAATAAGGCACTGATTTAAATGTCATAGTAGTTAAAACCCACAAAACCAGTAGCCTCAAAATTTTATAGTATGTGAAAGATGAGGAGAGTCACCAGTACATCAGGAGCTCAGAGCTAGGGTTTAAGAAAACAGGAGAAATAAAAAGAGCTGATACTAGAGGCCCTTGCTGAGGATGCAGAGCCTGAACCAAGCCTAAAATTTCTCTTAAACACCATCATAACAGTTATTTTTAACAGGAAAACACACATACATACAAAGTTAGAAAAAGAAAGAAATATTGACGTTGGAAATCAAACTTGGGAATATATTGTCCACTGGAATTCCATGTTCCATTTTAATCACCCATATGTAAAGATGGGAAAAGCCACTTCTTCTTTTCCATGCAAAACTATATTTTAGCAATTCCTGAAAGGTGGATGAGAGCATGAAACTGGAAAGCTGAAGGACACAAGTCTGTTCAAATTCTGTCTTTTTGCCTGGATTTGGCTTTTACTGCTATGGTGGCAGTGAGACCACTGAGGTCATCACATCATGCATCACTGTCAGGAGAAGAATTAAAACTCTTATCACAGAAAGTATTTCAAAGAAACCTAGAAATACAATGTTTCATATGGCTAGACCTGATTTTACAGTCAGTGGGAGATTTGGTTGAGTGAGGAATGAAAGATCAGGGATAAGGACCATTTATGTGTGAAAAAGTGAAATTATGTCAAATACAGCAATATAGGAAAAGTGGCTGACAGGTGTGTGAATTAAGCAGGGAAGACAGTACGCATGTGTTAAAAAACCCTACATTTATTTTGTCTCAGAATTATGCAGTAGTGTGGACTGTAACCAATTCAAGGATTACAGCAATTTCTGCAGTTCAAGTGTTTTCTGGTTGCATGGAGCTGATGTTTTTCATAGGGATTTCAACTCTTGATGGGTCTGGATAAAGGCAAACAAGGAAACTCCCTTCCCTTTTAACTTTATTCTGCCTTTGGAAAGGGATTAGGGTGTGCATGGAGTGCACAGGGTTGGACTGCCCCAGTCCCCAAGTGCTGATAGTGAGCAGGGATGCAGAGGGAAGCCAGCCCTGCTTCTGCATCCCTGGACTCTGCCTAATTAGGCAGCTCTGTTTTTCCCAGTTTTAGAGCTTATTTGTCCAAATTCCATTTCTTAGAGATCAAGCACAGTAAGCCCATAGGGTTATAGTCACATTGGGCAGCATTTAGGTCTGTTTTCCTTAATGAAGGCTAAATAACTCCTGACAAAGCAAGAAGCTTGAGAAATTGGGGATATGCAGACCTGCGGAACAGCCATCCTCCAGATAACAAGACACCTGAGGGTTTTTAATTCCTAGTGTATTTCCAATGTGGTATTTCCCAACACTTCCTTTTAAACTCAGAAATGTGTTCTCCTGAGAAGAGAATAAACCCTTGGGGTCAGAGTCCTCTCAAGTTTCTTTTTAATGAATAAATCTGTCTAACCTCTGTAGAAACTGGCCCAATAGATGCTCTCCCAAAGGTTTGTGTGGCATACATCTCATCTCCTGCAGCAAGAACTGAAACTTTATTTTAAGCCCTTCACCAGCTGGTCTAATCTCCTCAGCCATGGGGTCAGGCAGCTGTTGGTTGACGAAATCCCTTAGACATGTTTGAAAAGGGGGAAAAAAAAAAGAAATCTGTCTTTTGTTTTAGTGACTCACAGATCTTGCGTTTACTTGCAGGAGGAATGACTCAGGTGATTTAATTTTCTGCTTTTAATCTGTAAAGGCTTCTTCTGTGCATATAAGTAGGTGTTTGTGAATTAACTGCCAAAATTGTGCTTGTCTTTACCAAAAAAAAACCCCTTCAAAACCAGAATTTTAAGGAAATTGTTATCACTTCAAGTCATTAAATCTCTCTGCAATTCTATTAGAATTAAATATCTACTTTATTAAAGGCTTGATTGTAAATCAAGCTTATATAAAAGGGCTAATAATATTTTTATGATAATTTAAAGAAATCAGCGTTGCTATCATCTTTGGCAATGAGCACAAGATTTCTGCTGGTATAACACAGCTTTATATTCCTTTTACCAATAATTATGCCATTATGCTAACAAAAAGAAAACTATTTTTCTCAAATCTCATTACCATAATTTTTTGCATTGAATTTACACCTCGTATCTGGAGGCAAATAAAAGTGTGCAGGTGAGTGCAAGCTGAATAAACAAGGTTAGTGGGATTCAAAAGACTTGAAATTTCAAATCCACAACACTCTGTACTTGAATATGCAAGTAGCTCTTGCTGGCATTGCCTGGCAGTGCCAATGGCTTGCAGCTGAGCTGCTCGGGTGTTTGCAGGAAGAGCCTCATTGCCTTTGTGGTGGCTCCATCAGGGAATGAGGTTCTTGCTAAATATGTGAACTGGTAGGAGCTGCACTCCCTGGGAGTGAATTTGGAAAGTTGCCTGGGTTGTGCAGTGCTAAACGCTGAGGTACTGGGGCAATAATTAATAAACTGCTAGAAAGAAGATAAATTTCACATATGAAAATATTTTCAGTGAAGTGCCAGGAGATGGGAATGTTACTCACAGATTAGCATGGTCTCTGCTTAAAGATGATTAACTCCTAAAAGGAAATTTGGGCACAGTAGAACTCTGTTCTGGATACTTTGCAGATACAGAAGGATGGTTTAAGGTGTGTTGTCTTTTTTTTTTTCCCCTTCTTTCTCAAGACTGCAGAATTATCTTCTGACTTTTGATTCTGTTATGCTGCTGAATCATAGAGATTATCTTCAAAAATATTTTTCCCTTTAGTTTTTTTGGATAGCTGTATTAGAACCTTAGGAAACTGCGTGTAATATGTATACCAAAATATAGCATCTTTTCAGTTTATTGGAAGCTCTTTTTTTCCAGGTATAGCTCCTTAGCTACTCTGAATGTAATAGTTTGTGACTGCCTGCTTGTGTACCTTTAAACCCCTGCTGAATTCATTAGTTTAGTGGTGGGATTAGGCTAAGCAGAACAGGATCCTTAAGAAATCCAATAGTGGATAGATCTTGTCCTATATAGCTGTTTTTATTTGTTTTCATTTTATGTTTTCTGATTCTATTATTTTTTTGGTGTCCTATTTTTTTTCTATTCTTATCTGTATTTTTCATTTCTTCCTTTTCCTTTCATTCTGCAAATAGATGTCTTGAGATTAATTTAAAATTACTTCCTTCAGTGCCCTTTAAAGCACATTCTTATCTTTCTCATGCAGTAGCTTCATTAACTTATTTCTGACATCAACTGACATCAACATTACCCCTTGATGAAATTACAATCTTGAATTCAATTGGGTGTCATGTAGTCTTGAGTGGATGTAAACCATCATTAGTTTTATAATGTTACCTTATGTTTCACTTTTCTCTCTACTAAGAATTTTCTTTATTTTAAGACTTTTGCTGTGGTTCAAGTTGTTTTGCAAAATGTTTGTATATGTGGTGTTAAAAGAAAAGCAGTAAAGCTGTAGTGCACACCTATTCTTTTTATTACATATTATCTTTAAGGCCAGCCTGATGATGAATCTCTCCTTTAATCATTCCAACCAAAGTGTCTTTCTTCATTCTTTGGGAATGACTTGGTTATAGTTATTATCCTTGAACTTAGTTCTTGTAGTGATGATAGAAAAAAACTCATTGGCCTCTTATTGGTATTTAATGTTGAAGCCAAATTTGTCTGTTGCCATTGTGCTAATACCAGCTAATTAGATTAAGAATTATTTAGTGAGTCATATTTTGTGAAAATTACATTGGTTTTCTAACCAATTCTGTCTTGTGAATGAGAAATTCTTAAATGAGCTGCAGGAAAATTTGAGAAAGGGGATCTTATGCTTTTCTATTGTTAGCTAACTTTACTGTTACTTCCTTGCAGGTAACCTTCAAAGCATCAAGATACTCTGTTTCACCAGACCTCAGATTTGTTCTTCTTGCATATGATGTTAAACAGGTAAGCCAAGCCTTCCTAATCAAAGAGCCTCTAAATCAAAACTCCAAGAACTTTGTTGTTTTCTATGTTTCATTTGTAATTCCACATGTTATGACTTGTGTACTTGATTTCTCTTCCCAAAACTTTCTGGTTCAATGATGGGGAAGTTTGTATTGAGATGTGCGTGAAGGTGTTGCCTGGTTCTCAGGAAGATAAATTGCCATGCTGTTTTTGGCAGTAGAGGTTTTCTAACCCTTAAACTGCTCTGTTACTGCCTGTTTTTGTGCAATCTTTTGATATTCCTTCTGTTTTAAACAGCTGCACTGGTAATTTATGGACTATACAAAACAAAAGGTCTAGGCTGATTCACACAAGGGAATTTTTATTGTTGGCTTCAGGAGTCTGAAGTGTGATAGTCTGGATGCCTGTAAATGCAGTGTATTCTTTGTTTCTTACAGTATTTAGAAGTATTGGAGGCTATTAGATTGTCAAAATGAGTTTTGATCAATAATACTATATAGAGTTTTCTAAGATAAATCTTGTAACACAAAAAGGAAATTAAAAAAAAAGCTTTAGGAGTTTTATGAATTTCTTCTGTGTATATTGGTGCTTGTATAAAAAGTGCTACTAAAATATGAACTGCTCTTCATGAAAGAGTAATTCTGAGTTGATGAACTCAGTGGTTACTTGAATAAGTTTGGGTTGTTTTGTTTGTTCTAACAATGTTGATATAAAGTGATTTGGTATTACATCCAAATAGGGTTTTCATCTACCAGTTGTGGTGGATTCCAGATCAAGCTTTCCTTACAATGTGCTTATATCAGTAGGTGCTGTTGTTCATTTCACTGGTTTTTTTGATGAATGGTTCCAGTTTATTCCTATGCTCCTTGCTACTTCCCTTCTTGATTGCTTCTTATTTTGTGAAAGATTTAATAATCCCTCATACTGACTTAAATTCCTCATTTGTTCTGTTGAATTTTTGATTTTGCATGTTTTGATTTTTTTTTCCTTTGAGATTTTCTTCATCTTCTTTCTTCTCTATATACTAACATATATAGCTGATGAAGATAAATAAGAACAATGTGAACATATCTGTCACACTTTATTACATCTAAATGTGTCAACACCATGATAAAGATGGTCCACTGACATGCAGAGAGCCCTCAGTGTGTGCTATCAGTTTGCAATTCTTTCTGTTTCAGTCTTGGTTTCATTGCAAAAAGAAACTTTTCTGTCCTTTCACAGTGAAGTTACATAGAGGAAAGAGTTTGCAGCATTTACATTTTCCATCTAGAGGTTTTCTTTGCTCAACTGTGTTGACAAAAAGAAATTAAAAAGTGAAATGAACAGGGGTAGGGCAGCAGTTTTTGGTGGCAGTCCTGGGTGCCTTTGGATGAGGCTTCTGTCACTTGGACTGGTCCAGCTGAGCTCGTGGCTGTCAAACCAGGAACGTGCCGTGCTTGTTGTGTCTTCTACAAGTGGTGGTCCTAAAACTCAAAATAGCTGGATGTTGTCACTCAGGTGTAAATAATCCCTTAGCTCCTGAATGTATTCTTTAAAGGGGAAGGAAGAAGCACCAAAAGTCGTGTAAGTCAATTTATTCAGATGTTGCAAAAAATGTTATTGTGAATAACTGGGGAAAGTATTTTATTTTTTTCCTCTAAATTTTCTGACTTTTGGGATATTTGTTAGACTGGAAAGGCACTTTTGTTTCTTCCAAATCTGTTGGAGGAAAGGCATGCAAAGCCTGTATATTTCGTCTTAACTAATGCTTCTGAATTACATCAAGGGTTAAGTTAGTGTTCATAATTCTTGTGGTTTAGGAATTTTTTTCTCAGTTAGAGCCTAACTTAATGCATCTAGATGAGAGGAAATCTGCCTGTCTACCTTTCTTTCCCCCCAGCTGCTAAGTATAAATGATTAAATTTATTGACTATAAAATTAAAATCAATACTAAGCAGCATAACTTAATTGCAGAGTTTCCAATTAGTTTCAGTAGAACCAGGCCAGATTCTTTCTTCATGCCTCTTTTGAATGTAACTTTTTATGAAGCTGAGGATTTCCTTATTGTCAAAGTTACAGCACATGGTTGAGTCTAATAATACCCAGTTCAAGGAGCAATAAGTAACTTATATTAAGTATTTAGCTGATCTGTCCATCTGCTATAAATTGCCACAGATTTCTGAACCTTACTAGCTGTGTTTGCCCCTTATTTTCCCTTCTTTAATAAGATTTAGGTGTATAATTGTCCTGCAATGTATTTGATGGGATTTCTACTTTTGAGGACTGTGAAGAATTTGGGTGTTTAAAATTATAATGGTTGTTTACATACATCAATCTGTGCTCTTTGCAACATACAGTAATACAGCTGGAACAGATTTATTAATCAACAGTTTTATAAATAAGCTAGTGTGTTTCAGCTGAGCAGATTGGAGGGAAATAGAGACAAATACTTCTTCAAGACATTTTGTCATGAAATTGTAATTAGGAACACGGTTATTTTGATGTTTGGATTTTAAAATAAATGTTAAATTAAATAGTCTAATATTTATTTTACTGTTGTCAGCATTTTCTTTAATCTATTTTATGCTTGGACTGGCAAACTTTAATTAAATTTGCAGTTGTTTCAGCACAATTAAGAATATCCTGTATGCATAACGAAACATAAATCTGCATGAAAATAAGCCATCTTTGAATACAAAAGTAATAATTGGATCATTTAAATTATGCTTCATACACGGACAAAAACCATTTCATGTGGCATAGCAGCTGGTTTGGTGGAGCTCTATGAAAATATTATGGAAGAAAGCTCTTTTGCTGAGGAGTTGGAGGTGTTGTACATTGATTTCTGGATGTCAGGCTCCCTCCATCCCTTCCCAGCAGTCACAGAGCACGTGCCCTGGGGCTGGCTGGTGTTCCATGTTGGACCACAATGGAGTGGTGATTGTGGAGGTCCTTTCTGTGAGTTCTTTGCTGCAGCACTCCATCATTGTCCACACTCCTCGATTGCTTTTCACCAGTTCTCCAAGGTTTCTGAATTTCCCAAGCTCCCATGGCTCAGCTGCAGGGCACATGGTCTTTCTGTCTGTAGCTCACCACAATTTTTTTGGTGTCGCTGAAAAAGTCTCATTGTGCAAGGCAGCAGATCAGGAATAGAAACTGATTTGGGAAATGAGCTCAGACATCCTTGCTGGATGTCAGGCCATCCTCATTCTTCTGGGACAGTGGGAAGGCAGCACCAGGGAAACTGTTGTACTCATTGTATGCAGGGAGGGGACAGTTTTGCAGGGCTGTATCTTTTTGCTTTTCCTTTGAAGATTGTCACATTGAAGAATGTGACACTCTGGGTGACAGCATATCTAAGCCAGTTGAGATTTCAAGAGGAAAGATTATTTCACTGTTGCTTTCAATAAGGACTGTGTTAAAATGATATTTTAAACTTTTCTCACTCTTCTGGTAGTATAATTCACAACTACCAAAATCTGATTTATAGTTTTGATAGGGAAATGGAAATCAGACAGTCTGTTCTTGTATTAATGGTAAAGAATGGGCAGTGAATTTGCAGAAGAGTGAGAATTAAGGTCCTAAGAAATTCTTTCACCATTAGGAAACTTTGGTATTAACTTGGTATCACACCCCTCAGCAGACTGTCCCTGCTTGTCCCTGGACTCCACATGAAATGAAAAAAAAAAAAGCTTTATTCCAGATAATAGTGAGTTTTTGCTCACACACCATGGGCATGTTCTCCCACTGCTCTTGCTGAAGCATAATTTGCCGCAGAAAAGCAAATGAAGAAGTAGATGAGATCATTTCCTCTCATCCCTCACGTGATTAAATCCTTGTGTGTTTTTTTTTTTTGTCTCCCTGCAAACAAACTGTTCTTTCCTTTTCCCTGCTTTCAAAGCCCTTTTGAATGCCAAGCTTCAGGAATTTTTCTTACTTAATTTTCTTTTCTATTAATAGGGCATCATCTTCTGTTTTCAGTACATGATAATTATGTGTGAATTTTTTAGCTCTTGGTTCAGAAATGTGCTTAAAACAGATTAAAGTTCAGCTCTAGTTTAGAAGCATGAGCATTTAAATACTGTCTAAAAAAGGCAATATTTTCCTGAATTAGAACTTCAAATTGTAATCTTTTTTTGCTCGAGAATTTTAATAAAACAATATGTGTAGCTTAAAAGAAATAGATTTTAACACTTCTCATGGTAAGATCAGGATGGAGACTAACTCAATACTCTTCAGAAAGGAAGGGGAAAAATAATTTTAGATCTAAATGTCATTCATGTGGTAGAAATAGTTCAAAAGTGTATCTGAATATTTTCAGTTTAATGTATAAAAGACGAGATTCCAACACAGCATTTGAAGCAAAGAACCCCCAAGTTACTTTCTGCTTTGTGCTGATTCTTGTCATCAATTTGCTGCAATAATATCTATTTTCAGTGGATAATGACAGGGAGTACTGACCACGGTCTACAGCAAATGAAGGACAAACAAGTGACATTCTCATCAAACTTTTAGATTGCCTCTGGTACTGACTTACTCAAGTGCACTGAAAGGATCTTCACAATTTTGTCTGCAAATTAGGAGAATCCATGAGGGGAAGAACTCACTGAAGTCTTAAATTATGAGTATGTGTTCTGCATTAGAAGATTATCTTACTTCCAAGCAGGTGAAAACTAAATGCTCAGTTGCTAGTAAACCTCTGGATCAGTGAAATTTGTTTGTGGATTTTTCTTCTGAAAAAGTTAAAAGCTAAAGAAACTACCTTGCACTATGCCTTATTTTTAATCACAACACTGGATTTAACATGTGCAGGTGTTTTCCAGATCTTTTATCCAGTGCTTGTGGAAGTCTGATTATGAGGAGCATTATCTGTGTATCAGCCAGGGCTTGGAAACACACATAACAAAGATGAAATGAAATCTGCCACCCAGCACATGGAAACAGCATTTTCTCAACAAGATTATTTCATACAAAGGAATAACAAAAGACTTTTTAAACCACCAGCAATCTGGCCAACA